ATTCATCGAATCGTAATGGGAATTAATAATAACGTATAATAAATGATGAATTAAAAAGAACAAAATTTAAAAATGAGAAAATATCGTTATACAAAAATGGAAGAGTAAAGTTCGAAGATATCCTGAGGGAGGAGGAAAGGGATATCCGAGATAACAGTAATAGGACTGGAATACGAGTTAAATGCCACGTATGTTGTAAGAAGACAATAATCTATCAGAATTGATGTACTTACATACCAGTCGGTCTTTTATTAATCCAACAATAATCCGTCGTTCCAGCGGTTTCTATTTACGCATGGCGCAAACGACACGCTGTGAAACGCGAATTTTACGAGACCCGCGGACCGAGGTTCACCGCGACGAATTACATTATAGTAAAAAGCTCCATGGACATTCTTTCGTTTCGTTCCTCCTCGTGGAAGGGACCTACGCGACGCCGCGCCGCGTAAGGGCTACTTTTGCCGCATCAGCTTCGAAGAAACGATCGTTCAGGGCGTAGAAGAAACGTCAGCGAGCCGAGAATTCATCAGCGAATATTTCACCCTTTTCTCGACCGTTCCTCGACGCACGCAAAAAGAAGGGAAAAAAGAAGGGGAGGAAGGAGGAAACGAGAGAAAAAAGAAAAAGAAAAAGAAAAAAAGAAGGGGAAAAAGGAAGGAAAAAGAAAGAAGGCAAAAAGGAAACGAGAAGAAGAGAGAGAGAGAGAGAGAGAAAGGGGATTTAGAGGCGGAGAAAAAGAAAAAGAGACGTTGGTTTCGCGAAGGAATGCAAATCGGGGACTGGTCACGAGTATTCTAATGCGCGATCGTTTCGAGCCCTTCAGACCGGCCGGGATCGGGTGAAACGAACGTCGCACATCCCTTTGATATCAGTGACGCTATAAAGATACCGGGGAGCTGCTGGTCGTTAGTATAGTTGGCCGCGCGTTTCTGTGTTGCGCGAAACGACGACGTATGGAGGCCTTAAAGGCGGCCCTCCATTCCCGCCGCGTGAAGGCATTCGAGATAAGCGCGGCAGCTTACAACAAGGTGCACCAGGTGGTAATTCGCACGTTTTAAAGAGGATGTATCGTGACAAATTTAACATTCGTCGCAGATATGTAGATTTCGCGTGTTTACAGCGTACCCCATTTCAAGCTCCCAATGAAATTCACCGATATCTGATCTCCTCTCCTATTTATCCATTCTTCCTTCATGATTCTTCCTCCATCCGAGAAAAATTACCAATGGAACTGCTCGAAACGAGATGCACGATAGCGTGGAACAAGTTTCGATCGTCCCTTCGATTTAAAGGAAAATACGGCGCGAAGATAGGATTCGAAACCGCGCGCGAGCTCTCTCTCTCTCTCTCTCTCGGTGTGCTCGGTCGCGGTGATATTTCAACGCAGGAGGCTGGGGAAATAGATTTGTTGGGAGGGGGAAAGGAGTTCAGAAGCGCGGTTACACGATCGAAACCCCGGGATAACCTCGAAGAAAATGCCGCGAGAAGGCGAGAAGAGATGAAACAAAGATAGAGGGAGAAGCCGGGCAAGGATGGTAGTAAAGTTCACGGAAGAAACGCGTGATACGTGGAAGACGACCACGAAGAAACGAACGTTCCCAAGGTGCCCAAGGATTTCTCTTTACGATTGCAAGAACGATCCGCCAATTTTTCTTACTCGCGTCCGCTTCTCCGCCTCTTTTCTTCGATCCTGCCTCCTTCCCCGAAGTATTCGTGACTTCTCCCTATATTTCCTCTCGAACGGCGCGATCCACCGGTAGGGCGAGATAAACGACGAGATGGGACATGGGGTATCGTTCGGTGATAAAGTGGCAAAAAATTATGGCGTAACGGGATCGAAGATGCTCGCTTCCCTTCCCTAAATACAAATACATCTCATCTCGGTTAATTTCAATTAATTACGATAGGATTTTTTTTAATTCTTTACACTTGGATTGCGCGATAATTTGTTGAAAATCTGTTGAAGTTAACGTAGAGACAAGCTATATTACGTCGAGGAAAAAATATATTAGGTTAATGCTCAAAATTAGCGAATATCTGGTGACTTATAGGATAGGAGTATAAATAACCTGTTTCTGACGTCATCTTAGGAATTGCTCGTCTTTTTGCGCGCTCGGGTGGGAGAGAGGGACTCGTCGAGCGAGATTTTTTTTCGATCACGTTTAAATTTCTCGATTCGCACGCATTTTCGATTCCCTTAGTGGCACGATAATCGTCCCGTCCGCTCTGGCGAGAGTGAAACCAAAGAGAACACGTACAACCACTTTCGATGTAATCTGTTTCGAGACCGCAGCTGCACCGTGCCGCATCGGTAATGCAGTTCGGTAGCATTGTCACAGATACGTCGTGAATTCGATTCACGATTTTTAGGAAGATACGTCGAATAGAATCGAGACGGCGAGACATCGCGCGTGGAAGGAAAACTGAACGACGAAACTGAAATTCCCCTAGCGATTCACGATCGATCGTCGCATTATGGCGATATAAATCGTTACGATCGATGCTCGTTAATCGTAATCCAATCGAGCGATGCAATTCGCTGTGTGTGATTTTTTTACTATTGCCAGGTGTACGAAGCGCGGCGGTGCACCTTTGAAAATGTGAGGCGCGCAGCCAGTTCGAGATGAGCGGCCGGTTAAGTGTAATTTGTACAGGATCTCTGAGAAGGTGAGAGAAGTTCGCGGTCAAGGCTCCTCCGTTCAAGTCATTGACATCGCTTGCTAGCACGAACAGACTGATGTTGCCCATTACATCGGCCTGCTAATAAAACTGCAAAGAAGTTCGTTGTACAATTGCTTCATTGTCGCTCGCGTGTACGTCGCGTCTCCTGCCATTTCGTTTTCTTCTCTCGTGAGTGCCGATGAATTGTTCAAAGATTCATCGTCGTTCCACAGGGGATTTGTCATTTCGACGGAATAAACGTAATTGCAGGAAGTTTCGTTGCTTGCTATTGTAATATCAGCTTTATATATATATATATATATATCTCGAGCGATATAGAGACGAGTTTAACTTGATTAAATCGAAAATATTATTACTAACCAATTATTTTCCCACGCTTTTCTCGAGAGGATTAACACTCAAAACGGTTTATACAAACAACCGTTTTCACCCTCGAGAAAGAAACATCGCGAAGATCGTTACATCGCGATTAAAGAACTGGAAGAAAGAAATCTCTCACGATAATGGTCGTGTTCTTTCCTCCAACCACTCTAATTCGAATTTCTCGAAAATAGTCAGGAATAACGGCACCATGGCAGTTTCGAGAAGCATTAGAGTTCCGTGTTTTTAACGTCCGTGGAGCAACATTGTCGGCGCCGTTCATCAACGATGATTTCATTTTAATACGCGTTCGGGCGTAATTCTCGCCGCTTTTTTTTTCGTCGGACGTCGCCTCTTCTTCCCTCCTCCTACCCTCTTCCGTTCCTTCTCGTTCCACGCCGGACGAAATCTATTATCTCCGATGACTGTTGTTTTTCGACGCTTTCTGCGAATGTCCGCCGGTGAACGTCCTCCCTCTCCTCCTCCTCCTCCTTCTCCTCCTCCTTCTCCTCCTCCTGCTCCGACGACGACGACGACACGACGACACGACGACACGACGACAAGACACGACAACAACGATGTCAGCAACGACGACCAGCAACATTTCTTCGCGTACCGTCATCCACACAGGTGCATCGTCACCCTTCCCCCTCCCCCATTATCCATTATTCTTATTATTCCTCGCCATCTGCCGGTCGCGAGATATCGATCGTTACGTAGCTATCTCGAGCCCGTGTCACGTCTGTCTGTACTACCTTAAAGACCGGAAGCGATTACGAGGCGTCAAATTGCTAATGTTTGTATTACGTGGCCTATGTCTCGGATCGGAAGAACGATCGAAGATTCCTGTCCATGGGTTACGCGTGTACCGATTGTTAATCCCACGGTGAGCGACTTCTTGTAACCGCTAATTATTTCTATTTCGTTTATCATTTCTATTCGATGTCTTATCGCTTCCTCTACACGCAAGTATTTCGAGTATTTTGTTAGGAGAACGGTTGGCAAACCTCTGAGAAATGCGAGGAAACCTTGAATTTCAATCTCGTTACGTCACGAATTCACGAAGCGTCAAATATTTAAATTTCGGACAAGGCAAGCTGGAAGAAATATTTGGACACGTCTGACGGATATATATATATTTGGTATTCCAAGTACCTAGCATTATGTACATCTCGAAACAATGTTAGAACGACAGGTAGAAGCAAAATGGCGGTCTCGGTGTGTAAGCCGGGGGTCCACATTATCCCACTATTAACTATGCGAGACGCGGAGGCGTAACTTCCTCCGGCCCGACTTCCGGTCGCCGGAAACGTCCTTCTAACCGCGGCTGAATCCTTAAATGAAGACGATCTCTGACAAGGCCCTTCTCCTTCTCGACGTGCATCATCGACGTGCGAACTGACAGGAAATTCTAAAACCGTACTTCTCAGAAGTTTCTTATATATTACGGAGCGAACCGGTCCAGTTAGAACCGGCCGATTTGTTTATTTTTCAAAAAAAATTAGAAGAGAAACAGGAAGTAATTAAATTATTATTATTACATATATATATATATATACTTTAAGATAAATCTTAAATGTTTATTTACCTCTATATAAAATATTTCTCGAAAATATTAATCCCGTGAATTTGCCCATTATTTTGTTGTAGAAAATGATTGAAAATAAAGAAAACAAAGATTTCGTTCGCATTATAAAAATTTACGAGTGTTGATAACACATTCATCTACCCTATTAACTTTCAAATTTAAATATTCGTATCCGTAATAAACATATTATTTATGATAAAAAGAGAGATAAATAGAGGATACGATTTTGATCGTATCGAAATCTAAATAAAAAGAATAATAATAATAATAATAATAATAGTAATAATAATAATAAAGAACGATTGGTATTCGGATCCAGTGTGTGGAAAAAAACAGCGCGTTAAAGGCGTTTATTTTCGATTGATTACAGTAATCGATACGGATTGACGAACGAAGATCTGAACAGGCGGTGGAGCAATCCGAATCAGGTTCTCCATCCTGTGATCTATCACACGAAGGGTCTGATGGAGTACTGCACGAGGGTGTTGCAAAGGCCTCCCTATGTTTTCGTCGACTATCACGGCCATTCACGGAGGAAGAATGTGTTTCTGTTCGGTTGCTCAAGGTCGGGTTCTTGGAGTGCCGCGGACAGGGCGAAACCGGACCAGCCGTCTCAGTATTTGGTAAGGGGGACGAAAGAGGAGCGAGGAGAAGCCTAGGGTATTATTTTTAGACGCGCAGTAGTACGGGTTACATGCACCGGCAACGAGAACTACGAACGGTAATCTAGCGCGATCTATCGAAGTCAATTTACGAGCGAGCGGTTCTCCGTCAAGAGGGGAAGTATCAGAGGCGAAACTCGCCTCACCCGATGTAATTTACGGCGGACAGGATCGGTACATCGATTCCGTGTGCTCCAATTTTAGATATTACCCACGAAAATCAAGAAGATCCCATTTCGATTGGATTACGAACATTAACGTTTCTTTCTTTTTCTTCTTTTTTTTTTTTTTTTTTTTTTTTTT